GGGGGGGGGGGGGGGGGAGCATTCAGTGGTTCTGAAAACTAATTACATATTCAAAATTCAAGCTGGGCCTAATCCTCTAAGGTAAATTCTTTCCAGCTTAAACGCATACATTGGATAATATTGAGCTAAAGGCTCATAGAATGGAATGTAGGCTACATTTTTCTACGTTGCCGATATGTATTTAAACAAAGCCTATCAATATTACTTTATGCTAATTTTAATGTAGGACCAATTAATTTTTATAAATTTACAATATTTTATCATTGCTTTATGTTAAAGCTCAGGAACGGCTGTTGATATATCAATCTATTAGGTAACACTCTTTATAGTTTTAATCAACTCAACTTCTCCAAGTCCATTGTGATTAATTATGTAATTAAGAGAGAAGTGTTGATTTGAGCGCCTACAATAAACAAAGGGTAAAGTACAGAGTTTCTATACGAGTTATCTTTTCTTAGCTGAATGTTTATCCTCGCCGCTAGGATTATTTCACGTCGTTTGATTGGTTAACGACCAGATTTCAACCAATCAACTGCAAGTAAAATGTGCGAATTTCAAACTACTGAAGCTGGACTGTGGCGTGGATAAAAATTTGTAAACAAGGTCTGTTTTCGTTTATTTTTTCCTTAAATTACTTGCATAATTGTGAAAGTAAGAGTTCTTGTACATGATTAAATGTCCATAAAACGAATATTTAACAGAGCTCTTGATAATTTTGCAGCTGTAACGAAGGAAATCCAAGATTCTAGCTTGGAAACTTCGATTTTGAAAATTTCTTCATATCTCTGCAAAAATGTTGAATGGAAGAAAGCGGATTGGGTTGGCGGAGAAGAAAATGAAACCCCATACCGATCAGGTAAGTGGTAGGCCTATTTTAATTCATATTTGAGGTAGCTCAAGAATTTCATGTTTCTTTTCATCGGTTTTACTCTTTAGAATTTATGATGTACTGCCAGCAATGGACAGGATGCGTTGATTTTTTGATTTTTTTGAAAAATTGTGATAGGTAACCGGTATAGATCTAGCTCTACCCCAATCTGCATTAAAACCTGTTTTGAGTTTCACCTTGCTTTTGTGATGCATTCAATTTCATTTCCAATTTGTGAATTTGACTATTGATTTAATCTCAGTTTCAACCTCCTTGGTCTTTTGGTAGTTTATATGGGCATTTACAAAAGACCATCTAATATTTATCATATATGAACTCTTGAGATATTTGTTAATGTTAATACTTTTTCTAGGTACCTGGTATCAAACGACAAGGAGATAACCTTTTAGACCCTACTATGAAACGTAGGCCAGTTTGTGGTGATCTAACTAATGTAAGTTTATATCCATCATAGTATAAGCTTAATTTACCATACTTAAAGAAACATCATTACCGTAATAATTATTGCAATTATTGCTGTGTTATATCGTTAATTTTGGTTTCTAATTTCCTATCTTTGTCTCTTGTGAACAAGGTTCTGATGGTGTTTTTTAACCAA